AAAAAAAAAAAAAAAAAAAAAAAAAAAAAAAAAAAAAGAATATTCTCTTCAGGTTTGGAATCTTTTAAAAAAAATTTTGTGAGAAAATAATATTTGAGTTTGGAGGTATAAAATGGGCTCAGATCTTAAAGCCCCATGTATTTTCTAAGGGATTTTAAGTTATTCTGAAGATAATGATTATAAAGCAGGCTAACAGCAAAACTAAATTTAAATTTTAGAAACAACTGTGATAAAGTGGGGTGGTTTTCATTGGAGGCTACAGACTGCTAAGAAGTTACTACATTAATTGGGTGCATAATAAAGGCCAAAAATGGGATCACAATTGTATAAATCTAGTTTCTTTTTTTTTTTTTGCAGTGAATTCATTACAGTGAGGGCTACTATTCTAGTAATAAGAAAAGGAAAATAGCAATAACATTCAATAGATATGGAATCATTTAACTTGTTCAATATATATTGGGAAGATATCAGTAGGTTTTAGAACACCTAATTCTGTAGATCCACTGTCAAATTGGAGACAAAATAGAAAAAGTTTTATGCCATATGTAGAGTAATGGTCAGTTCTTCCCAAAGCAAGTTGAATTTTCTAGCAGAATAATGGGTGTTTTATAGTGGAATAATCAAACAGATCAATTCAGTAATGGTGAACCTATGGCATGTGTGTTACTGTGTTTTAAGACAAGAGATGTTAACATATGCATTGCTTTTTCTATACTAAAACCCCAGTATTCAGGTTTAATTATAATGTTGGCACTTTGTGATAAGTGGGTTTTAGGTTGCAGTTTGGGCACTCATCTCTAAACGGTACACCATTGCTGGATTAATTACTCAACAGAATAAAAAAATGAATGTTTTATGATTAAAAAGAAAAGCAATACAACTGTTAATTCTTAGTGTTTTTTACATAAAAGAACAATTTATAACAAAAATCAAAATTGCCTTTATTGTCAACCCAAAGAAAACCAGTGTAATAAAATTTATTATTATTTTTTTAAATAATAGGTTGGGTACCAGTAGAGAAAAGCAACAAACAGTATTGCTGGCATTCATCTGTAGTTAATTATGAATTTGAAATGGCTCTGGTACTAAAGCATCATCCTGATGATCCTGGACTTTTGCAAATTAGTGCAGTGCCATTATCAGATCTCTTAGAACAAACATTGGAACTCATAGGAACAAATATCAATGGAAACCCATACGGTGAGTGAAGCCTTTTTCTTATTCAGCAGCTGTTATTTATAGAGAACATTCCAGGATCAACTTAAAAAACACATTAGATAAAGAAAACTAAAAGAATTTGAGTTAATTTCCTAGGATTGCTTCCATTTTGTTAATTTTATGTACGTGGAAAAGTTATGTACGACTTTGATGTGATTTATTCATTCAAAAGGTTGATTTTTGTCCTATCTTCTGCTCTGATAGTACGACAGAACTGTGCATGTTAAAGTAATTATTCAGGTAACTTTTCATTTCTTTTTAAAATGTAAGTGAGTTGCAGTGATTTCAGAATGCACTTTTTGTGGCTAGTCATATTTGCATTAATGAAAGTAGTCATGAATAAGGTAAATAATTAGCACTGAATCCACATGTACAACACAAGGGATGACGTGTACTGAGGGTCCTGTGGCTTACATTATCGACAGGGGAGAAGATAGACCAAAGGACACTGAGATCGTCACATTACAAATAGATTGATGACAGCCAAGTCTAAACCTAAGATGGTAATTGTACAAGGTTCCAGATATAAAATGCAGCTGTTTGGCAAACATTAATGATAGCTGAATGTGGCTAATGGTGTAGAGGTGGACAGACTTTCTACCAAAGGCCAGACAGGAGCATTTTATGCTTGGTAGACCGCACCACTGAAATGGGTTTGTCTGCTTAATGGATGGGTTTTCCTCTAAAACTTACACAGATGTCTCTAGATTTGGCTTGAAAAATCATAGTTTGCCAGGGCCGGGGATTTAGCTCAGCGGTTCGGTGACCTGCCTTGCAAGTGCAAGGACCCGAGTTCAATCCCCGGTACCAAAACAAAAAACAAAATCATAATTTGCCAACTTCTGGTTTAGAGCACACATAGGTAGAATTTAAATTTCCTGAAATAAGATGCCACAGTTGAGTGGGATTCAGTAGATTATATTCTCTTCAAAGAACATCATTTAAGCCTTTAAAAAAATCTTTTAAAAAAAGTTTGCCTACACTTTTTAAATGTTTCAAGACTTTATTTGGACATTTTCTCTCATCTTGAAAAGTTCCTTTGAGTGTGGCTAATGGCAAATTTTTCTGTTTAGGTTTAGGAAACAAGAAACATCCAATACATCTTCTCATACCACATGGAGCATTTCAAATAAGAAATCTGCCTAAATTGAAGCTCAATGACCTGTTGTCCTGGTTTGAAGGCTGTAGAGAGGGTAAAATTGAAGGAATTGTATGGCACTGTAGTGATGGCTGCTTGATTAAGGTAATAAAAAAAAGTAAAGCTTGTGTTGGGTTGTCATCTTTATATAGGAGAGGTGCAAATTTCTAAAAATTTCTGTGCAAACTGCAGCAATTCTGATTCGCAGAAAAGAAATGTAATATTCTCATCTCAAGACACCATCCTTTGTATTTTCACAGTGTTTCTGAGTAGGTATTCCCTGGGCCGTAGATTACATCAGATACGCTTCAGAATCAGTGTGATACTGCATACCCTTCTCTTGGAAATTCAAGTTGTACAGTAGAGCTCCCTAAGACATCCTGTACCTAATTTAACTCAGCATTTCCCAGACTTCTTGATTAGTTTGTAGAATGAAGAGTACCAAGATAAGAACTGATATATACAGAATGAATTATCTTATACTTTGTGCCCTGCCTATCTGTCCCCAGGCCTAGCTATTTGATTCCTCACAGGTACATGGAATTTATAATGTTCAAAAATTAATTTAGTCTTAATCCTCAGCTCTACACAATTCATTGAAAAACTTGGATATTGACAATAGTACCTTGGTTTATGAACTTAATTTGTTTTATGATTTGGGGGAATATGCCTGTTTGTGTGGGGAAGGTGGCCACGGTCATGTGTGTCACCTGATGCATAGTTTGCTTACTGAATTGTTTGTGAACTAAGGTATTACTGTATTTGTATTTCCTATTACTTCCTTGATCACTTTTCAGTTCTTAAAGATTCCGACCTATAGAATGTATGTATTTGTCAACCAACTGACTTCTAATTTTAATTTAGACCGAGATTCATGCTTGAATTATTGTATTGTCCTAATAGTTATCTTTCAGTTTTATCCCTGTCCTGTCCATTCTTAACAAACAAGTAAGAGGATTAGCGTAACTGCTTAGTTAGTTTAGGGTTTATCACGATAGCCCAATTTACCTTTCTAGAATTGCTTTCTATCCTGCCCCTCAAAACACAATTCACATTGTGTGTATTCAAGCTATATTTAACTAACTATAACTGATGCCAAAAGCACCACTGTATCACATAGTATATCTTTTGGTATGAATCTTCTCTTATATTTTCTAGGTAGCTAGCTTCTATAATCAGCCACAGAGTCTCTTATTAATTAAACTTTTATAGTGCATATAGGCTAGTCATATTCTTGGTATATTTCCAGTTGCTATAAATACATAGTCACTAGAACAATGGCTTTGCCTTTACTAAGCTCATACTCTAAGGGGGAAGATAGACTCAAAACACGTAAATATTTAACATGTCAGGGAAAGGACAGCTGTAAAAAAATCAGATACGATAAAGTGGAGGCTCACACAGTGCCTGACAGGATAGTAGGCAACCAAAATAAATATGTCTGAGCTGGTTAAGATAATATCTGTAGACTAAAGCTAAAAGCTAACACCCTTTTTTCTCTCTACAGATACATCGCCATCATCTTGGTTTGTCCTGGCCAATTCCAGATACTTACATGAATTCAAAACCTGTTGTTATTAACATGAACCTGAACAAATATGACTATACCTTTGATACTAAGTGTTTGTTTAATCATTTTTTAAAAATAGATAATCAGAAATTTGGTAGACTCAGAGACATAATACTTGATGTATAAAATGGAACTTCAATTAAAATTAGTTTTACTGGGCTGGGGATTTAGCTCAGTGGTTCGGTGGCCTGCCTTGCAAGTGCAAGGACCCGAGTTCAATCCCTGGTACCAAAAAAAAAAAAAAAAAAAAAAGCTTTACTATTACATTCCAATCTTGAATATTCTGCGATGCTACAAGTAAAAATATTTCAAGATTCCCATTGTCTATTGTGAAATATATCAATATATCTTCTAGCATTTGAAGAAATGAATTTTTCAGTTGCAAATACCTGCTCAAAAACAAAAAGGTAATGAATGATAAACTCCCAAGCTTTTACAAAGGTTGTATTCTGTTCATTCTAAATGGGTGAAAATTGAAAGACGAATGAACCAACATTTAATATAATTTACTTTCAAAGTAAATTACTTTAAGTTCAATTTAAGTTTGTTAGACATTTAGCAAGTGTATGGCTTAACCTCATAACTTAATGTTTACTTTTTGTGTGTGACTATATGTAAAATATATATAGGTTTAGGATTTGAGATTTGATACACATAAGTTATATAAAATTCTACTTTTAAATGTTACAATTCCATGTTACTATTTTAAGAAAAGTGAAGAGATTATGAATGTAGTAAAATTCACCCTTGTTCATTGCCTATTTTTATGGTCATAATTTATTCTAAAAATTCTCAAAAATATATTTTTCTAGTAATAAAAAATTTCCATATAATTTTATTTACTAAAACTCCAAGTAAAAATATGAGGTATCACAAAATAAATTCTTCAGTTCAGACTTGCTTGATTTCCAGATGAAATTTTAACATATAAAATAAAATAGCTAAATAAGATTACAGTTACACATGGCCCTTAATAAATGGGGAAATTAACGGGACTTTCCTCTTCATTTTCAGACTGTTCAGAAGCAGCAACAGGGCTAGTTAATTCAAATCCAAACTGTTCAGAAAGTTTTTTAAACTTTTCTTCCAAGAGAATATTTTTTTTCACTTCTTCCTTGTAATTATACTTCAGATCTTCAATTTCTTCAAAAAATGAAGGATCAACATTTTCTAGTTCTTTTTTCAGCTTTCTTATTTCCTCCTAATAGAAACATAGTGTCTTTAAAAGTTACACATAAGAGAGTACATCTTTAAGGTTTGAACTAAAGTTTAATTATAAACATGAAAGCCACAGTAACCTAAAGAGTCAAATACATTCATAAAGGCAGAATAAGTAATCTGTTAACAGCCAATTCAAATTATCTTTCTATAAATTTGTTTTTAGGCTTTGCCTAAAATTTACTGACATTCTGGTGATATTTAATCTTTCTCTGAAAGTACATGAGGTACTTTCAATGAGGCATTGAGAAATAACTTTATCATTCACATTTTAGTTATGCCGGTTAGATTTTTTTTGGTTTAGGCCTCATTATATTTTCTTTACAAATAATGACTTTTTAATGAATAATGCTCAAATTTTTAAAAATGCATTCACAATGAGGGAAAACCTGCCTGGTTAAGTTAGGCATGTGGTGAAGACAGAATTTGAGCTTTAATGGTATATAGAATAGCCAGTGATCAGTCACCAGCTAATTCTCATATTAAGGGCTTTTTGTTCTGTTCATAGAGTATTTAAAAAGGTAAAGCATAGAAAACATTTGTAAGTAAGGAAGCTATCACTTTAGGAAAAGATTCCTGAAAAGAATATCAAAAGGTATGTAAAGATACTGTTCCCAACATAACCTAAAACTTAAATCAAGAAAATACTACCCCAAAAAAGTGTACAAAGCTATATTTGTTACAGTTAAAAAATAAATTTACTTTCTTTGTTTTTCTTTGTTTTGAGTATTCTGTTGTCTCCTACTTAATACATTTTTAACATAAACATAATGAACTTTGTAATCAAGTGAAATAAAATGTAATTCCATACATTTTCAGAATACATACTTAAAACTCAGAAGATAACGATCATAAAAATTGTTGTCCACAAAACGTTTATAATATCTACCTTCAAATGCTGCTTTTCTAGATCTGATACTTTGAGCTGTGTCTCTAGATCTTTTATAGCTTCTTTTAGTTGAACAGCATCTGACCAAAAAAAAATCAAAATTAAAAAGTAAGACTCAGCTTTTTTCCACTCTGAGTAAAACAAGATAAAGGATTTGTGTCAGAAAATAAGCAGAGAACTTATGAGACCTATAGCATTGAAAATATGTCACTTTATGGCTGAAATACTTTACACGCTGTGAATACTGAATGATAACTGTTAGGTATGTCAGCAAGGAAAAAGAAAAGTCATTGCAAGGACAGAATAAGTCTTAACTTTTTACAAAAGAGAAATTCTTATTTTTCAGAGAAATATTCTACAACCAGTAAAATGTTAGATACTAAAACTACAGAAGAAAAACAGATGGTTACACAAGGGGTTAAAACCATAAGTTGGCCAAATGTTCCTTCTACCCAACACAGAACTGTGCTATTCTATATAAGGCAGTATACAGTACAGTTACTATGTACAGAATGTCCAAGGCAGAATCTGTAATATGAAGATAACTCTTGATACTATGATAGGAAAATAAAAATTCACAAATACAACACAAAAGTTTTAATACACTAGATCCTCTTCACATGCTAACGCACCTCTAACTTTAAGAATAGGCAAAAGCTGGGGATTTAGCTCAGTGGTTCAGTGGCCTGCCTTGCAAGCGCAAGGACCCGAGTTCAATCCCTGGTACCAAAAAAAAAAAGACAAACAGCCTTTCAGCTCTAATGACATCTTAGAATCATCTTCTCTAAACACTAAATATAATGTGTCATGTCACATGGTTACATGAAGTATAAATTCTGATGTTAAAATATGAGAAAATTGTGGGCAGGAAACATTTGCATGACTCATATAACAAGCATATTCATTAAGCTGTCCCTGGAACAGTCCTCTTAGGTATAACAAGGAGACAGGTGGAGATTTAAAATAAAAAGGATGAAATAATTACTTTTCTAATGGGAATCAAGTGAGAAGCCACAGCAAAACCATACTTTTAAGTGTCCCCTCACAGAAAGGCTAAGATTCTTAAAAATTAATTCTTAATCACTGGGCTACTAGACGTTGCACAGACTGCGGAGACAAGTTGGGGAGAAGGGAATTACCAGGTACAGCAGCTTTTAAAAGCTATTCAATGACCACATACTTAAATCGTGATTTAGAACTTCCAAAACAGATCGGTTTGATTTTTGAGGCTTAATAGTCCTGAAATGTGTGATATCTTTATCCCCTTCACTTAGAAGATAACCAATATGAGTAAGAAATTCACTGAGAAAGAAAGCAATTATAAAATATATATATATATCAAAAGATTAATGTCTATTTTTAGGTACAAGAGGCAGTGTAGCCTAGTGGTTAAGATAACAAGGAGTTTGATATTTCATTAGAATTGTTTTACTCTTGCCTTTGCCACTTCCTAAGGTCATGATTTTGGGGTCAGATTAGTAACCTCACTGAATCTGTTTGTCACGTGGAAAAATTAAGACAAAATACTTATCTAAATATCAAAAGATTAATGTCTATTTTTAGGTACAAGAGGCAGTGTAGCCTAGTGGTTAAGATAACAAGGAGTTTGATATTTCATTAGAATTGTTTTACTCTTGCCTTTGCCACTTCCTAAGGTCATGATTTTGGGGTCAGATTAGTAACCTCACTGAATCTGTTTGTCACGTGGAAAAATTAAGACAAAATACTTATCTAAAACCTAAGAATAAAACAATACTTATAAAGCACATAGCACTGTGTCTGGTGTCAGTCATACATAAGGGCTTTAATATGAAGCAGCATCAGGACTAATTAGGATAATGAAAAACGTTATATGAAGTAGTCAAAGACCAGATAAAATTGTTATAATCTTTTAGTGTAAAATTTGGTTCTCTAAGCTATTAGATAATAGCATAACTAGGTTACAAGGTTCACCACAGATTTTATAATAGAATCTTACCCATATAGCAGCTGAATTATTTAAATACAGGATGATCAAAACATATATATTTTGTTAATTTTTATAAGAACGAAATATAAAAATTTTACCAAATTTATTCAACATAATCGACTGGCTGCTGGGATAGTCAGCATGTAAACAAATGTGCTGCCTGAGTAATGCTCTGGGTAAACAGTTGAGTGGTTAAAATCAAACTAAATGAATATCAAAAGGCAAATGGCTAAATATATTATCTGTATAATAAAATATAGAATTATTAAGAGATACAGGCTTCAAAAAATGTCCACAGCAAACTGTTAAAGGCAGGAGACTATAAATAGAACTGAGGGGTATAGCTCAGTGGCAGAGCACTTGCCCAGCATGTGTGAAACCCTGGGTTAGATTCCAGGACCACACATACACGCACGCGTGCAGTGAGATATGAATGAATCCTGATCAAACCATAGTCCAAGAAAACATCTATATGCACATACTCCACAGGTCTGTGCTCTCCTCACAGCAGGACTATCTTACAAAGCTGGCACAAACACTCTAGTGAGTATCCAATCATTACTCCTAAGGGAAATACTACACTTTCACACTCAGACATACAACACCTCTGATAAATCACGATCTCAAATACTAACAATAAAGTCATTCTGGTAGATTCTATTTTTACCAAAGAGAAAATGTAAGTGTTAAGGGACTCTTCTGGGGTCACCCTAGTAACAGGTATTGGAGCTGGGATGCAAACTTCTCCCATCTGGCCCGAGAGCAAGAGCGTCCCATGCTGCAGTGGCCACCTGTTTCTGTCCTGTGGTCATCTCTGCATGAAAACTGAAACAAGGACATCAAGCACTGCCTAACACTTGATGGACATCAGCTTGGAACTAGATGTGAACTAGATTTTTCAAATGCTTCACTGCATATGTCTGCAAATATGAGTACTGCGTTTTGAGATTACAAATAGTCAATAGGTAAATTTGTAAAAACAGAGTCCTCAAATGAGGAATCAACTGTACCTTGTGTAAATCCGTAAGTACATACAGACATATTTTGTATGTGTATATGTATATGTGGTATCTTAGCGGATCTCTATATGTGGGTGTACCTGCATGTAGGGAGGAACAGGGAAATAATTAGTAGTTAGTACTGAATGAGAATGGAAGGACAGAATTTCTGCAAGAGGAAAAAAGAACGTACAATGCTTACTTGATTTTAAGTTTTAAGAACAACACAAGAATTAGTAATATTTAGAAGAAAATGTTCAGAGGGATTGACAGGGCCTATATGCATAAACCAGAATAACAAACCTAGTATTCGTTTCTTAGTACTGTACTATGATTACATCTGTAACATCTAGTGGGACACGAGAAAAATGCACGCTTGCTACGCCACAATATAAACAGAAATCTGAATGGGAATATTTTTGAAGCACGGGAGACAGCGACTCTTAAAAGTTCCTATTAGGGATTTGGTTTTACAGGGAGACAATTATTAGAAATCTAAAGAAAAAAGACAAATTCTAATTTAAAAACATGGGAAGGGTCGGGGAAAGGTAATAAGGGAGAGGAAAAAAATATGAGAAACTGAAAAAATGGAAATAAAGTGTTTGTAAATGGGGAGGGGAGGAGGGGGTGAAGGGAGGGCAGGGACAAGGGGAAAAATGAGAATCAAGACCTATTATGTAAAGGTACAGAATCCCAATGATGAATGTAATTGTATTGTATACCTAGATTGTACCAATAACATCAATAAAAAAAAATAAAATAAAAACATGGGGTAGCAAACAAGTCTTAAAAAAAAATACATTACCAGGAATGGTGCTTTCAGCTCCACTTTGGTCCTTGTTTACTTCTAACTGATGCATTAATTCCACTTTTTCTTTATCCAGTTGACTATAAGCTAATCTGGAACACAGTGATGTATTTTTTACAAAGCCAATAGACATCATTTCACAAAATGCTTGAGCATTTCTTAAAAACCAGTGATGTACAGTTCTCAAAATATTAATATTTATGAAGGTAAACATTCACTTTCTTTCTCAAACATTCTCAAAAAGTATGGGATCAAAAGTCATCAAGATCTACCTTGATGTTTGTTTCCAGAGTAATTTTCTTACAAGAAGGGCCCAATGAAAGTAGGCCACAGAGACTCCTCGAAGTAAAGAACTGTCTTTTAGTATCTGCCTCTGGAAAACAAGGGTTTAATCCAACTGTGCCATTAGGGAAGTTTAAGTTACCAATGGGAAACATTAGGATTGGGTATACATCCTCCTCTTTCTTAGTATCTAGTACGTAACAGAGAAACTGGCATTAGAAGGATGAAATAAAGACCTATTAAATAGCAAAGCTGAGTCTAGTCTAGCATCTAGCTATAGAAAACCTAGTTATATAAAATACAATTAAAAAAAATAAAACAAAACAAAACAGCGTAGTCACATGAACACAGAATGTACTACCTAAGAAGCTGCAGCTCCCGTTTAAGGCCTTCCTCTGACTCAGCATCGTCAGGGACATGCTTGAGAATTTCAATCTTTGGACACAACGAAGATAAAAGATAAAAGTTTAGGGCAGAAATAGGTTTTATAATGATACAGGTTTTTAATGAGTTATAATACTAAAAATTAGATTTTCAAAAGCACATATAATTGCATTTCTATGTTCTATTTGCTATTCGTTTACTCAACACTTATTAACTACTGTGTGCTAGTCATTGTCCTAAGTCCAGAGGACACAGTGATTAACAGAACAGCCAGCGTTCCTTTTTCCATAGTCTACATTTTCAGTAAAGTAAAATGAGGCTGTGATATAAGGGTGTAGTCACAGTGTGATATACTCTCTATCACTGCCAGACGGTAGAAAGGTCGATCAAAAATGATCCAGGGCGAGGATAGAGTGATTGAAGGTGAGGGCTGGGAAAGGTCTCTCTCCAAAAGCCTTCACTGAAGCAAAGACATGAAGCGTGGAAGTGGACTGTGAGAATACTGGGCAAACAGTCCTCTAAACAAAATCAGTGCAAAGCTTTGAAGTTTAAATTGGTTTAACAGACAAAAAAAAAAAAAAAAAAA